AGAAGTAGTGCCTTTGAAAGTATTGTGCAATATTTTCGACACTCACTTTTCTTTTCAAGAAAGGCTTTCTTATCTTATGCAGTGGTTTCAGGATATACGCGACACAAATATGACATTTTCCTATCTCCGTATATTTTGTTTAAACTGTTTATATTTTTTACCTTTCGAATAATGACATATTTTACTATTGACTTTTTATTTTTGCTGTTGCAAATATTGAAAACGCGTAGGCCCGATTGGTAGAAAATATATAAAGATTTTTTGAATGTATTAAAGGATTTTTCGACTATTTACTTATGAAATGTAGAAAAAATAGTAAAAACGATTATAATAAAAGAACAATGTTAATGCTTATTTCTTTAAACATAAAATAAAATGTTTTAATGGTTTAAATCCATCAGTGAGGGTTTTCTTGTTCAAAGAATAATTTGCACTTACTTATCATACAGAATATATAAGTTATATATTGTTGAAAACATATTACTCGTTTTTGAAACATAAAACTCTTTAATGTAAATTCTATGATTAAATTGATTTTACAAAGTGTCGTTATAATAGTTTAGAACAAGTAAAATAATTACAATCTGCCTAAAATATACTGTATGTTTTTCGAATTTAATTGGAATTGTATGGTACTTTAATACTGTTAACAACATTAAAGGTAATGTCTCAATATGCTGCCCTTTCCATTACCCGCTTGCAATCGCAAATATTAATAGGATCACGACGGAAACAAGTCGCAATTAAAGACTCGACCAGCACCTTGTTGAAAATGAAGTTTACCCCATGGCTGACAATTGCATTTCTTATTCCCAAAGACATTGGTAACGGAATTTTAAGAGATTTTAATCCTATTGTATCTCATTATGTATCAATGTCCTGGAAAGCTGAATAGAAAAACAAAAACCCCGAAAACCCAAGTACAACTAAACATTAGGGGAATAAGATGACAATCAATAATAACATTTACACATTGACTGCGTTAGCAATGAAACAATCCCTACCAACATTATTTTGAATTTACCATGTTTATGGGACAAGGAAATTCCATAAATATTATGAAAACATACCTTAAACTTAATTTAAATAAAGGATATTGAATGAGTGTAAGTTCAATGCTGAACTTATTGCACGAGTTGAATAAAAGTAATTTATGCAAGCCTCAGGCGAGCATGATATTATTTTATTCAACGTGTTCAATAAATTCAGTTATGAACTTACACGAATTTAATATTCTATTTATCACACACCCAAAATAACGACCGTTTAAAGTGAAAAGAATCATTTTTCACTGACGTGCCTAAAGTATAACTCTAACATTTAGCGCGTCTTTACACTATGTTTGTATAACGCAAATGACGTCACTTTAAAATATATACACGGCCGTGCAATACCATTATGGAGTCGCTAAATCGGTACATTGTGTGATAAAACAGAATATTATCTGGAGTTGTATTAAAGAAAGCGTGTTGTTCAGTTGTCTGTTCAAGTAGCAAATGTTTTACAGATTCTTATTGTATTTCTTATACAGGCTAACTAGATCTTTACGTGTGATATAATAGTGTTTTCTGTCAATTGCTTACTAATATTGGAATCGATTGTCACTTATACAAATCTTTAAACAAAATCTTTTTAAATTAGACACAAATTTATATTACCTTGATAAATCAATTTCATTGTGAACCACATCGGCGATATAATTTGTTTTATCATTTAAGAATTATACCACATGTTATTTGAAAAATGAGAACACTGCCTATATCTTTGAGTAGACTATCGATAAAAAGAATAGAAAACCAAAAGTATTAAAGTTTGCTTAATCAGGAAAAAGATATCCTTTTCAAAGATAAAATTATTTAAAGGGACACAACAGTATCGTTAATTCCTTATGAAAGAAAATATCGTTACTTTCCCTTTATGCTGCAGGAATATTTTATTGATTTATTGTGAAATGAACAAAAAACCAAGTTCACAATGAAATATATATATTTGCATACAATGTATACCATTAAGAAATTATGAATTACATCGGTATTTTAAATCTGACCATATCGGTGGTGTGCAAGTGTTGTACGCCTAGAACGACAATCACCGTGTGTATATGCTGCATTTCTTACGATATATTAAATTACACTCTGGGAAATATTTAATGAGTGAACAGCCAATCTCTGAGACATGAGTACGTCTGCAACATACATTCCCCCTATTTACTTCATCAGGCGGAAGCCGCCTTCTAAGATTTTGATTCATTATATTGAATGCTTATTGTAAGTTCAATCAAAGCACACTTATTCATGCATGTAAACTCAGTATGCATGCCGTCAAACTCTTAATTTTAGAGGTTCACAAAGTCCTCGTGCCTCATCTGTTGCCATAGGTTTTTAAATATATATTTCCTTGTATTATAAAGCATTTTTTTTTAAATATCAATCAAACAGAGTCTGCAATAATTTCAATTTTACTGTGTTGGACTTTCTTTAGTGGTTCTTGTTTCTTCTATTTTATAATAATAATAAATAAAGTTGATTCATTTTATATGCAGTCGACAATAAAAAAGTGAATTCATATCACATGTAAATGAAAAATGTCATTGATCCTGCCATTGGCTGCAACTTTTAAGTTTTTATTTAATTAATTTTGTTTAGCATTCAAGTACAGAACTAAAAACAAAACCAAACAAATGTTTCCAAAAATTGGGACGTGAATATCTCGATTACCTACTGATATTTAACAAACAAGATAAAACGACTATCTTTCTTGTCTGGTTAGATCAATCTCTTTGTTTCAAAATAACTTTTGTTCGTAGGTCAGTACCTGGTTTTAGTTTTAAAGATATTTGTCTAATAAAAAAAAATGTTAAAAAAAATTAATTTCAGTATTTAGAAATACTCTAATAATGAACGTAAAATTCGCAACATCTTTGAGGCGCTTTCCGTAAAAGACACCCGTATGCAAAATGTAAACATGGTATTCCCTACGATGGACACTTTTCTGAACTTCGGGTATTACAATGGCTATTTTTCTGAAATATTGATTCCTAAATAATTTATAATACAATCCTTAAGGAAAAATATTAACTAAAATCAACAGATATATCACTTATTACGAAATAATTAAATATACTTATTTATATCACGGATTCTTAATTGTAATTTGAATTCCGTTCCTCTACATTTTGCTGCATTAAAATGACTTACATAAAAATAATTACCTTGTTTTTGTTTATCTTGACCAAATATTCCCGCTGATATCATTATAACGTAAAATTGCTGATATATTTAAAAGACAAAATTGTATAACTGCTCAATTCCGCCATATTCATTTTTATATTTTTCTGCTCCAACTGAAATGATGTTTTGTAGTCACTTTTCACTGTTAAATATCCCATCATATTAAATCATATAAAACCTATAAATCATAAATTATATTCTACAATGTCTAATATTACTATGTTTTGTCAGTCTTATAGAATAATTCAACTGAAGTTGCCGTCCATCCATGACGTTAAGTTTTTATTTAACCAGTTGTTAAAATCATATTTGTTTGTAATTCAATAATCAAAGGACTGAAACAAATCAGTATGTTATTGATAACAACTATAGACAAAAGGCTTAATAATAGTGGTACTTAAGTCTACATACAAATACATCATAGTTGCGTGCTAACATTTATAAAATGATATCGTTATATCGGACAACCTATTTTATTACTGGTCATTATATGGGTTTAAAAAAACTTGAATTTCAGAATATATGAATCGTTCGTTTCCAATATCCTATTGTACTACATAGTTCATCTTTTGATTTAATACACAAAACAATCTTAGTGATCATTGTTTTGTGTTTACGATTAACATATTTTCATCTAATAACATGTAAAATATTCGTTAACTATTAAAAAAAAATAATTAAATCAATTACAAAAAAATTTATAACAATATAAATAAATAGATAGATAAAAAAAGACTATTCCACTTTCGGATGGATAGTAAGATTAATAAACATGCAATTATCGTTCAAACATATTGATTAAGAAACAAAATAACGGAACCAAATAAACATGCATATGAATTAATGTTTTAATAAAAAAACACAACAAAATCAAACAAACAAACAAATTATCGAAAAAAAATCAGGCAATTGAATTGATGATTGATCAACCAAGCAAGCATACAAGGCTAGATCATCAAATAACAAAGAAAATGTTTTGAAATGCTGGTAAAATTAGGAATATTATATAAATTTCATTTCCTCGACAAAAGAAGACAACACCATTTGTTTCCTGTTGACTATCTAAAAAACTAATGAATCAAAGAGAGACAACGTTATAGTTTATTCATCAAGACTTAAATACAACTTATTTCCCTTTACACTACAGTGAGATATTGCTCAGATGATATATATAGAAAATAATTAATTGAATAAGTGTAATTTCAAAACTGAATTTATTGAACGATTTGAATGAAATTATATTGTGCGAGTATCTAGCGAATAATTTCTATATGATTTTAATAGACTGTTAAAAAATGTAAATCACTGCCTTCTTACAATCTTAGTCCAGGAGTTTTTGTACCTTCTAATATAAAACCGTACACATCACAACTTTCATCGATTAGCTGTAGAGTTAATATGAGCATTGATTCATTTACAATAGTCTTCTTTTAATTACTATCTTCTCGTTAGCATCAAATCGAGCCATTACTTAAGACTTTATGAGCGACAAATTATGCAAGAAATCTGGAATAAATACTATCTTTCTCTTGTTCTGATAAAATCAACACAGAAAAGATTTAAGATTTAATAATGAACATGATTTTTTACAAGTTCATTACGAGGTGAAACTTGGATTGGCCATTGTGTACACTCAAAGGAATCTTTCGAAATGTATATATTGTGATATCCATGAAATTGTCCGTTAAGAGTAAAACATGCCTTGCTTATATTTTAAATCTTAATTCTTCACAAACATTATATGAAATGTCAGACATAAGAATCTTTTCTTTATATCGAATTTTGACATAAGAAGAAGAGATAGTGCGATATGGATTGGTATACTTGTGACAGGTAAAATTTTTACGATACGAACAGCTAGCAAGAATTAGCATTTCAAAACATTTTCGAATGTTGGCTAAAGCCACGTATTAATATGATATGAATACAAGTAACGATAAAGGCGTCTATCTGGTGTTATGTTAATAATGATAATGATGATGAATAAAATGGTGATTTGATAAATGGAAACACATATTATGCCACCTTTTTGTAAATGGTTATATGAATGAACCATCGATATTTATTATAGACCGATTTCTCTTTTAAACTCTGTTGGAAAAGTGATAGAACGTATGATATCTTATTAAAATACATGTACAAGAACTTTCATAAATAGTCCTTAATCAAAGTGCTTTTGCCAGATCACTAAACTGTTTACCACCTTACTGATATATATATATATATATAACACATTTTGTAAGCTATTTGACAATTAAGAAATATCATGTTTCCTACTTTGCGATATCTCCAAAGAGTTTGGCACACGTGTCTTAACTTCAAACTAAAGGGTATAAGCTTTACCTGATGAAATTAAGATAAACATTTTGAATTAATTTTCCAAAACTGTTATGATTTATTCTCGACCAATTTGTTAACATAAAATGTCTCATAGATATTGTATTTAAACAAAATAAAATGATCCTGAACAAAATTATATTATGCTATGTGTAGTATAATATATAAAGATATTGTGTCATTTGCTCCTAAACGATAAACTGCTTTATTTAATGCACACTTTTAACGAAAAAAATATGTTGTTTTCATACTTTAATGGTTGTTTCTAGGAAGAGTTTTAAGATAAAATGTCTCTGTTATTTCACATATCTTTACAGAGGACCTGGGAAAGTTGACGTCTTGTTAGTCAGTACATATACATGATATAAGATGACAGAATTTGGCCCCTTGGTTTATATGTAAGAAGTAAAGGGAACACCATTGAAATAAAACACCCGGTCATTATCTTTTTAAAGACTATATGGATTTCTCGGTTTTGATATAATTAACTACCGGTCAAAGTTTTATAACATCCTCATTCCTGAGATCATTGTTTCGTGCGTAACTGGAATCTCGCTGATGTTTCGTCATATGCCACAGGTAGTGAATAGTTCAAGAAAATGAGCTTGAGAGATTCAAGAATAAATATCTTTAACCAAGTCAGCTTTTTTTTCATTCAAAGCAGTATTCATGAATTTTACTTTCGGAGTCAATAATACACAAGTTTTACAGAAGGAGGAGGCACATTGTGGGCTAAGTAAATACTTTCACCCTTAACCTGATGCAACCGAAAGTGATCATCATTTACTACAAGTGTAAAGTTAGTCCCGCCTGCTGAAACCGAAGGCGACCAGCCTTTGCTATTATTATAGAACCAGGCCAGCATGCTAAAACCAAAAGTATTCAGTTATTGCTACCTGTATAGAGCCAGACCAGCCTGCTGAAACCAAAAAAGATCGGTTATTGTCACAAGTATAGAGCCACCGAAAGTGATCAGCCCTTGCCACCAGTATAGAGCCAGGCCAGTCAGATGAAACCGGATGTGATCAACATTTCCCACCACTTTTGGTTTATACAGAATTATTTTCGTTCGATTATATATGATGTAATAATTTGATATACACACTTTCGAATCCGTTCCTGGACCCAACCAGTACTGTGCAATGAGTGTAAAGCTTCATGCTCAAGAAAACAACGACAAGCCCCTGACGGGGTTTGAACCAATGCAGTTAATGATCAGTAAAGAGCCAAGTCAGTCTGTTGCATTCTAATATGATATGCCTCTGTCACAAGTATAGAGCTAGACCAGCCTACTGAAATAAATTGTGATCGGCCTTTGCCACCAGTTTGATGAAATCGAAAGTTGTCAGCCTTTGCCACAAGTATAGAGCCAGGCCTGCCTGCCGAAATCGAATATGGGCAGCGTGTGCTACTAGTATAGAGTTAGGCAAGCTGTAACTATAGAGCCAGGCCAACTTGCTGAAATCGAAAGTGGTCAAACTTTGCCATAAGTATCAAGCCATGCCTGCTGCTGAAATCGAAAGTGATCAGTCATTGCCACTAGTATAGAGTAATGTCAGCTTTCTGAAACCGAAAGTGCATATATAGAGCCTGGCCAACTTGCTGAAATCGAATGTGATCAGCTTTTGCAACGAATGTAATACCAGGCCAGCCTGCACATCCATGGTGTATGACCAAACTCTATTATTTTTGCATTTCATTTAGTTTCAAATGAATTGTACAATATATCAAGCAAGGCGATTCCATTAAACAAATACAAATTCAGCAGTTTAAGTATTATATTAATTAGAGAACCAGAAAAATATATATACACAATATCAAAATGAAAAACGGGCCTCTTTTGACCGGAGCAAAATTCATTTTCAGTTTTATGATGTATCTGAAATATCAACACTGTTAAGTCGTCACTTTCATCCACAAGTAATGAAAACAAAATGATACAATTGTGAAAATCTAAAGCATGTTCGGACAAAATACTTATAAATAGAATCGCACAGATAATATTGAACAGATAACACTGGAGTACATGCATACATTATACAACAGTACAAGTTGTGTTCCTTACATCTAAAATACAATATATTTAAAGTGCCGATAAACTATCAAACAGAAAATAAATTGAAAAAGTATGTGCACAATTATATTATTATAAAATGTTAAAACACTGTCAACATACTGGCTTAACAATTATTGTCTCTACTGAAAATATTGGATTGAGCTGTTCATAAAAAACAGATAACATAAAATATATTAGCAATTTTATATGATGATTGTCATGATAACATCCATATTTAATCTAAATGTTTTCCAGTGCCTGACACTTCTTAAAGCTATTTATTCCAAATTAGTTTGTCCTAAATCCTTCGTTGCTCAGAATATATGTTATCATCTATTATAATTATGTAAAATTGTGTTCTCTTTTTTGTTAGAAATCCGTTACAATACCTGTTCCTTTCTTGATAGATTTAATATCATCATCTAATATTATTCAAAATGCATATAACGTTTTGTTGTTCATCTAATGGACACGTATAATGTAAGATTATACTTTCATTCGGATAAAAATGTTACCGTATCTGATATGACAACGAAATTACATTGTGTTTGAAGTGACAGTTTATTGGCAAAATACCCCGCCATTTATAAAAGATTCTGTTATGCAATGATTAAACGCTGATAGATAATTTCTATTTAAACTGATCATGTTCAAAACTATAGAATAAGTGTCTCATATTAGATAGTTACTCGGCAAACATTGTGACTTTATTACAATGACAAAGCATAATACACACTGTACATGGAAGTTCAGTGCTTTGTCATATGTCCTCGATATCTATTTAAAGGATTATTGTTTTTCAGTTTATTGTTATATTTCCTATCATCTTCAACGATATCTGGTTTTGCAGAAAATAAAATAAAATAAACTAATTCACAATGGCCATGTTCATCCAAAACGGCTTCTTCCCTTCTGTATGTAAAGTATTTTTGTGGTAATTAAAGCATTTTGCTTGGTTATGAATAGTTTATGATAACCATACCTACGCTGTTGTTACGTAGGTAAGCTGTGTATGCCCTTAAACATATAACTTATGATTCTAATTATAAACGGGTGCTAACAGTCTAAATATATGACACTTTGCGGAATTCTGTCTATTTTGTATCTTTAAGGACACCAGAAAGCATTCCAAAGTATCTTCCGTGCGGTGTTCTTGTTCCAAAACAAGTGAAATCTAGTTATTGATCAATTTGTTTAACAGCTTACAAATATGGACTTTTGCCGAATTATTTCGTCTTCTTATCTGAAGGGAACGCGCATAATATTTAAAAGCATTTTCTACATTATTCTCTTCTTCCATACACTGTCCTAGAAGATTGAGTGCTGTTTCCCTGTGTCCGAGATTTGGTTCAACATCAATGGTTCTGGCAATGTTAGAGAGAGCCCTCTGTTTATCATCTTGTCTTCCTAGACGGGAATATGTCTTGTACTGCAAGAAATAGAGGTAAGGGAGAGAATCTACAACAGCCATGTCCATCCATTTATCATCTTCACTTCTGTAAGCAAGGTCTTCCTGTGTTGATCTAAACATTTCATGTTGAAGTTCGAATGGGCAACAGTTTATTTCACATCGTATAAAACAGACACATGATGCTGTTATATGTTTTAGCAGTGTGCATTCTTCATTTGATTCAAAGCATAATCTGTCGAATATTTTTCTTCGTAAAGGCTGTTTAAAAACATAACACTCACATATTGGTTCAACAACACTAAGATTATAACACTCCTCGATATTTTTCAGGACCAGTTCAGTCATCTCAATTTCTCCGGCACAAAAGAGCATTGATGCTAGTTTCAGTTTACCAGATGCTACATCGGAGTCTAGTCCTAATGACATGAACGAAAGTGCCTTTTTGTAAATTAAATGGTCTTGTTGGTTAATGTTTAAAGACGCTAGAACAGATCCTAGTGTATTACATAAATATTTTGTATAGAAACGATAAGCTTTTCTATCTATGTTTGTGAAATTGTCATTAGGATGATTTGAAATGATTGTTAAAAGTTTTTCCATCGCATGTCTTGGTGATAAATCATTCATGTCACATAACAGATGATTGATATTTGCGCTTATGTGAGAGGCTGTTTCTCTTAGTAATGTCCCAGCAATTATAGTGGGAATATAATGGGCATTTTGTAGTATAAAACCGTTTAATCTTAATTGTAGATATGAACCATAGTTGTCACATTCAATTTCGAGTAATGCCCTTCCATTACTTTCGATCACATAACGAAGAATTTCAAGTATTAACGGCTTCGCTTCCGGAGAAATTCGCCCGTTCATCAAGTTATTTTGTGTGATGAAAAAATGAGGACAGAATTCATTCTGAACACAGTTGTAAAGTGTTGATAAACAAAATGATAGACAACTAAAGAGAGTATTTTCCTTCCACGTATCAGATCTTGTAAATGAAATACAATGTAACAAAATTGTTTTACACATGAAACTTGAAATGCTGTCGGGAATTCTTTGAGTTATAAATGTTTTCAAGATCATTTTCATCAAAACATAACATCTAATTTGTGTTATGTTAAGATTAAACATTAAATATCTCTCCGCAATTGATGTGGATATTCTCCATTCAAACGCTTCATTTACACTTCCTGTTTTCCCAACTCCAACAACAAAACATTGCGTGTTACTACAGTACTTTATCATACCATTTGTAGGCCATTGCTCCTCTCTATGCTGATTTAACCAGTGCCGTGCTTGAACTGGTCTTAAATGACAGGGAAAGGCAAAAACAAAATCATCATCACTGACACCAGGAACATCTTGTATAGAATGGGCTGGGCCGTGTCTAATAAATTCATTAATTCCAACATCATTTAAAAATGTATTATTCAACAATATTCTCCCCATTCTGTCTCTATATGAATTGTCATCAACTTCAGCTACTTCTGGTAGTGGAGCATCATCTCTAAGAATTTGTAACAAACAATATCCTGGTGAGACATACTCATCTTGTATCATTAACAAATTACGTTTACCATATTCCCATTCACTCCAGTCTTGTATCACATTATAGATGTTCACAGATATAAGACAATCTGTGTCAGACTTTAATCCTAGTGTTGTAGAACCTTCTATTTGACTGCCGAATAAGAATATATTCTTATCATTACCGAGTAGCTGATGAGGTAACGTAAATAGTGATTCATTCAGTAGCATTGCTCTTCTTCTTTTCATCACTATCTTCTCGTTAACACCAATCCCATCCATCACTTGAGACATTTTAGGTGATAAATTGTGAGCGTAATCTGGTATTCTCGACATGCTAAAATAAAACAGAAAATTATTTAAAAATAAAAAGTTTTTAAGATTTTAATTCAATACTTTAGAACATAATTTTTACGATAAATAAGATCAATTAATACTTTGAAATTAAGTCCTATCAAACACGAAAGTGACACATTAAAACAATGTATTTATAAAGTGTAAAGTTTATAAATGATTTAACTATTTATAAAAGCTTAAAATTTCAAATAAAAAGGGAAATAAAGTTATTTACATTTACCTTAAATTGAATATTGTACAAAACGAAAACGAAAGTTGGAATTTCCAATGCTTTACACCTTAATTGGACAGGTTGAATGATACTAAATAATGAATCAATAAAGTACTAAATTTAGGTGAAATTAAACCTTACTTGTAAATTAAATCTTACTTGTTAACTTAACCTTATATAGACAATTCAAAAGTAATAATCGCTCTATGGTGGCTATTTTCAGAGGATGAAATTATAATTGTTGGATGCTAAAAATAAAGAGACTTCAAATCTATTTCTTAAATATTTCTCTTACTTATACATGTATTTTACTTTGAACTTTCATATAAAAAAACAATTAAATTAAAATGATTCTTATCATTTTGACAAAGAATTCAGATCTTTAATGATTTTATTATAAATAATTTAACTACACTTCATTGGTAATAATACATTTTGTCAAATTTGGTAGTGATCATTCTTGGATTACTCATATAAGTATGATGTGAACAATGAAGCTAGAAAAAAGTTCAATAAATCGTTCTGTGGTTCTACAAATTAAATGTTATGAGATGCATGGAAAATAAAAATTATGTAATACTAAAATATCATGTCTAAGAACAATGTCTCATTTATGACGACATTTTTCTTTTATTTCACAATATAGCTTATTTCGTCTCTTATTTGTCAGGACGGCTAGCATTCATACCAGCATCACGTGATATATTCCTTATTGTGTTATTGTTCTCGTATATTCCTGCAAGCTGTTTCTTAATAAATTAGGCATACTTTCCCGGAAACTATATCGCCGGACCGACTCAACAATATATCTGTTATGTGCAAGAGTTTTATTTAACTGTGAGACACACACAAAGGCGCAGACAACCTGCCACTGAGACATGCCTGTATGCAACATTAATACTCCCATATTTAGCTCGTCAGACATAAGCCGCCTTCTATGATGTTGATTAATTATATCGAATTGCATTTTAAAACGTTAAATTGCAAATTTAAACAAAAGCACATAAATTCATACATGAAAACATACTTTGTATGCATTCCGCCAACATCTTGATTTTCAAGGTTCACGAAGTCCTCGTTCTTAAATCTGTCTCCATACGTGTTAAAATAAAGAAATCCCTTGCATGATTATAGCAAAACGCTTTAAACTTAATTTGGGTTCAAATGCTCCTGCTCATCTTTATTTTGGTAAATCGGCTAAATTTAATCAGTGTTATTAATCGACAGTTTATAAAAATGATATTAACCACTTAATTGATTAATGTTGCGCCGTTCTTGACCACTTTTAATTTGTAAATTCTTACATGTATCACTAACCTTTACTCTAAATGCTTTTTGATTTTTGAATCGTTGTAACAAAACAAAAGATACGTCTGGAAATTGAGGGTGTAAAAATGATCTGAAATCTCGCAAGAAAGTGTTTGAATACAAAATTAATACAATAAGTAGAATATCAAAAATTCACAGCAGTGTCCATTCAAACAGCTGAGAAAAACAAAAGCGACTTAAATATATTTTCATATACAAATAAGTGACCCCGGTGTGGTGTCATATTTGCACACTTATAAGATGCATAACACTATATTTTAAATGTTCTTAGTTCAATCACAAATCAAATCCACAAATAAGACTTGGTCAGTTCATCGAAATTCACTTTTTGACCTAAAATGTCAAGGTCAAATAAAAGTTAAAATAAACTACGTTTTTTTTTTGTTGTTTTTTGTTTTATTCATTTATTGTTTCCAAGTACAAAGACAACCCATCTATAAATATGAAAGCTTAAGTCTGTTATAGAAAATAATTTCAAGCAAACTGAAAAATTTGACACTGAAGGTCATGGTCATGTATGAATAAAAAAGGTTAAGTTTATTCTGATATACTTGAAGGTCTTGTCAAAAGTACTTAATTTTGGTAACGAATGTGTAAAATATTCCCATTTGGAACAATATAAAGTTTATAAATATTTTAATTTTCAAAACACATATAAAATTAAACATTTACATAGTTTTAGCTCATCTATCAGTTTATGGACCTTTTCTAGAAAATATCGACGTCATTTAGCATAGCAATTGCGATGGATTACGAATGTTTTTCAAAAAGATAACTGCGTTAAAAAAAGGAATGTATTGCTTTAAACTCACATTAAGTGCATTGGGTTTCTTTGACTTCCTTTATAAATGTTCGTAATGAATCTTAAGCAAACATTCTGTATAATCAAAATCATTTATCACAAGTTTGTGAAATTGTTTTTGACATGTTTTATTCACCGATATCAGTGAAGTTTTAAGTAAACAGACACTTGGCATTTTTCCATAGATAAATAGATTAATTTCGGTATAAATTACATAGATATTTAAACAACATGTACGGTACAAGTACATATATTCAACACATATGAGAATAAATAATAATATGCAGACAAGCAGCAAGGAAAGCACAATAATACTATTATAATAGTAAATTAGTTAGTTAGTTACGGTATTTAAATTAGTTAATTAAGTAAGGTAAAGAAAATCTGTGTAAAGTGTGACAGGTGAGTTGGTAGGTAGGTAAGTACAGAAAAAAGAAAGTAGGATTAATCAAAAAAATGATATAAAACGGATATCTTTCGTGTATGTTATTTAAGATAGATACATGTATACGAGTATATATAACACTATCCACAATACCATTAAGCCCTCTTAAGGTAGTACACCCCTAATGCACTATCTCTACTTTAAAGAGTATTCAAATAGGCTAGAATCACTTTAAAGTGTATTGAAACTGAGGGGCGTGGGTTCGACCCCAGAAGTGGCAATTTTTTTACTTTCTTTTTTTCTTTTTAACACTTTTTATTAATTTCTCAGATCCCTAATGGAAGAAAAAGTGTTTCAATTTAATTACATATTTTTTGTAGGTATTTATTTACAGAATAATGCCAACTTTAATAGCAAATATGATACCAGATATTTTCAAAGTTTAATAAAATAAAAACTACACGGTAAAAGTATTTTATATTTTGCAAGACCACCATATATATCTAAGAAAATTTAGGCAAACGTTGAAAACAGCCCCTCATTGTTGAACAGTTAAGGGATATTTTAAATAAGGCTTTTTACACAGGGAAATTGTCAAATAAGTGTTAAAACAGGATGGGGTGGGGTTACATTTTTTACAGGTTAAAAACATTTTGTTTAAAAACAATCTGCTTGCTTGTTTAATTTGTTACCTAAATGTCATTATTTGTTTCTTAACAATGAGCAGTAGGAAAACATTTTTCATAATGATGTTATTATAGATTATTTAGAGTTTCCTTATTTCTGAAAAAAGGCCCTTCTTATGGCAAAGTTTTAGTTCCAAAAAATGTCAACAACTCCTAAACCACGGTAAATTTTGTTTAAATTTTGCATACAGGTGACATTTAAGGCATATAACTGTCCTATGTTGTCAATTTTACAGTTCCTTATAGTGCCCATTAGGGGTGTACTACCTTAATATTAAATGCTTCTTAAATCAATTACAGTTGAGATACAAATATAATGTAAACGTTTCAGACGTTTTTCAAAATTCATTTAAAAAAAACATGTTTATCGTTTTATGATTAATGATATGAAACTGCTTGACTGTTACAAACGCTTTATAGAATTTGAATAAGTATATCTTATTGTTACATATTGTGTTGGAACAATATGTATATTTTTACAAAATACTGATTGAAACGGGTGATGCTCCCAGAATAGATTTTGGACACAGGAATCTGGTATACCTCTTGTAGTGTCAGTTATGTCACAGACAAAGTTCAAAATGAACAAACAACCCAAACGTTGCGCGCGATACATCGTATCAATTTGGTGATCATTTTCTGTGAAATAGTTATAAAATCTGACTTGAAATTACGAAGTTTTGGGCCGGACACGATTTTGCTGCAAGGTAATGCTGTGACCTTGACCTTCAAGGTAGCCCTACAAATGTTTTGTGCGACACGTCGTCTCATTATGGTGATCATTTTTGTGAAATAGTTGTAAAATCCAACTACAAATAACAAAGTTATTGGCCGGACACGATTTTGCTGAAAGGTAATGCTGTGTACTTGACCTTCAAGTTAGCGACCCAAATTTGAACGCAACACGGCGTCTCAAATTGGTGATCACTTCTGTGAAATAGTTGTAAAATCCGACTTCAAATAACAAAGTTATGGGCTGGACATGATTTTGCTGCAAGGTCATGATGTGACTTTGACCTTTAAGGTAGCCACCAAAATGTTGCGTGCGACATGTCATCTTAATATGGTGATCATTTCTGTTAAATTGTTGTAAAATCCAATTTGAAATAACGAAGTTATTGGCCGGAGACGATTTCGCTGCAAAGTCATGCTGTCACCTTGACCTTCAAGGTAGGGACCAAAATGTTGTGTTAAATTGGTGATCACTTCTGTGAAATAGTTGTAAAATCCGACTTAAAATAACAAAGTTATGGGCCAGAAATAATTTTGCTGCAAGGTCATGCTGTTACCTTGACCTTCAATGTAGCGACCTAAATGTTGCGTGCAACATATCGCCTAAATATGGTGATCATTTCTGTGATATAGTTGTAAAATCTTACGTCAAATAACAAAGTTATGGGTCGGACACGATTTTACTGCATGGTCATGCTGTGACATTGACCTTCAAGTTAGCGACCCAAATGCTGCGCACGACATGTCGTTTTAATATAGTGATCATTTCTGTGAAATAGTTGTAAAATCCGACTTCAAATGATAATAAGGTATGGGCCGGACACGAAATCGGGACGTACGGACGGACTGACTGACTGACGGACGGAAAACCCGACGACTGTATGCTCCAACGAATTTTTTTGGGGAGCATAATAAAGAATGTGGAAAAGTAGATTAAGAAAATTACCCTCAACTGCCCGTTACACTTATAAGTTACTTTTCGTGAATTATTGTAATTAAATGTTTTAGCTTCGCATCGGTGTAATTCCGCATACAAACAGAACTGAGATGTACTGAGCCGTTATTTAAAATTTGTTTAGAAATCTTAGAAATAATTTTATTTACGATGCTTTTGTGTATGCGTGAAAAAAATGAGTACACTAAATATCAAAATGAAAAAATAAATGAATGAATTAATGAATAAATGCATTCATAAATGAATGAACTATATGAACTTACAAAATATCAAAAGAACACACGCATACAAGAACAAATAAATATCGGTAAAACATTAGGCACAACATTTCTTAAGTACTTGACATATTCCTTTCATACGAAATCACTCGAAAATTTAGCAGGTAATATTGTAGATAACTGAATAGGTAGTAAATTAAAAGCAAGTGTGAATGAAAATGACTGCCTTTATCTAGGCAGAGCTAACAATATTCAAGGACACAAGAATATTATTGCTCGACAAGTGAGAATTAAAAATGAAATTGTAATTTTTGTTTAATTTAAATGCAAAACAAGTAACACAGTCCTAAGGGATTAAGTTCATCAGAACTTAAGTAGTATAGTAAAATTTTGTATAGAGCTAATATAACATAAAATTCGAAATTAAGGTAAATGTTATGTATATCTGTCTTTCATGTTTATTGTTCCCATAAATTTCGTTGAATTTCAGCAAGATGTAGCCGAGAAATAGCGCAAGAACAAATTTTACTCTATACAAAAATTGAGAAAAAATAATAATCAGGAACTATAACATCTGAATGTGTTGAATGGTGATACTATGATATGTGGAGGATATGCGATTGAATGATTTCTAGAAAGACTTAGCTGTGGTAAAATCAGTCAGCAACTGCAAAGAAATAGTGTTGAAATTGTTTTTATGTTCTCTATACAACATACCTACCGCCTTCGTGGTCGAGAGGTTTGAGTCGATGACTTCTAATTCAGTTACCTCTCTGGCGTTGGTTGGATCCCCCGGAGATGTTTTGGTAGTTTAGCACGGAGGAAGGTAGTCTAGTACTGGTGTAACTCTCCAGGAACGATGGTTAGGAAACTACCCGCCTATATGACTGAAATACTGTTAGGAAAAGGCGTTAAATGAAACAAAAAATAAAATAAAAACATACCTAATCGGGGGCTTTAACTCAAGTAATATGCGCATCTTCTGTTAGTATTAAATTTTTCTACAAAGTAGCTTCTTGGGAAAACCGCTTGTGTCACGAAAAGCTACTGGTTTTAAATCGTTTAAGAAATGTATATGTATATGTATATCCTACAATAAATGCACTACATTTCATAGAAAGTTATGAATAAGTTTAAGTTTAGACTATTGTATATACCCGTAGATAACAGAAACTTCAGATGACGGAAATTGACTTGTTATGAAAATAAACTTATTATGAAAATCAAAAGACGCAAAAATAATTAAAACGTTTAAAGCGAAAGGAGATGTCCTTCAGTACAGGGGTTCGGTACTCTATAAATAAATTTATGTATGCATGTATGGACAGTTTGCAATCTGGTTGATGTATAGAAATTTATGATTTTAATTCTCGTATTTTCTTCGACGTATAGAAACATTAAGGATACAATTTTATAGAAAATACGCATATATTAGCTTTTGAATGCAATATTTTTATTGTTCTATGAATTCAAAAACCTTTAATACTAGAAAACTTTAAATAAGAAGAAATCATAAAACCTGTATACGTATTTTGTGTAAAATATTTTTCAATTAAGATTTATGCCTTATGTTATTTGAAGTAAAATAAGAATAATCCATTATCTTATTTCTAGATTCGAGGTAAATCATCGACAAATAAAAAAGGAAACCAAAAGTAGAACATTTTGCTTAAATCAGGAAATTAAAATGATTTAAAAGGGAGGAAACATTTTCGTTTATTCCTTATGAACTTAAATACCATTACTTTCCCTTTATCATACTGGAATATTTTATAAATTCATTTTGAAATGTACAATAAGCCCATGTACACGGATAAATATCTATATAAGCATTTAAATGTATAATTAGAAAGTATGAATTATGTCGGTCTAAAAATACCGTAGCTAATTGATACTCTCGATAATTTAAATTTATTTGCTATATAAACTAAAACAACTATTTTAACATTTAATGACGCCATGAAAGTGCGAAAAAAATGTGCTTGTGAGGGAGAAAATTGAAATTATATAAGTTATATGTATTGACATTTACCAGTCTTGTTAAGGAATAGCACAGTCGGTTAAGTGATTACCTAATATATATACGAAAGGTATGTGGTTCGATCTCATCTTTTGCTATTGTTTAAAATCATATTCTTTCTTTATTTTTATGGCCAAACACTTACAAAATTATCCACATGGATATGAAACAACTTCAAGCACGGAATTGTCTCGTTTTGTATTGTGATTTACGGCACTAAAATGACATGTTTTGATTTTAATCAGAAAGTTAAATTTGAATTTTGAATAGTAAATCTTAAACAATGTTATCAAAAAAAAAGATAATATTTACAAAATAAGTGCAAAACATATCAAAAACAAAAAGCACAACCATAGCTTCAAAAATTTGAAAAAAGTAATAAATAAGAGAAAAAATAACTTGACATACGCGGTCTCGATCTTACAACACGTAAGGCATTTAGAAATTATAAATCCATACACTATAACAGTCAGCGTAACTATATCATAGAAACAAATTAAATCTAATAATATATTTTATCGCATTACGCTCAATACGTTTATATATTGTGACACTCACTATGCTCAATTATCTGATGTAAAAAATGAACAAACATGTATACAGCGTACAACTGCAATGTTTCAAAAATCCTTCTAATTGTTTGATTTAAAAAGGAGAGTGTCCTTTGTATGTGTATTAATGATTGCAGCGAAGTTCGAGGATTTTCTTCATACACAAAGCAATTTAAATAAAATTTTAAAATCACAATTATAAAGTTCAACATGTATCATACAAACAGTTAAAAGTAAAACATATCCTTATTTCAACATGTTTTTTATTATCTAAACACTGTTTCAAAATGTAGAGTACTTTATCCTTTTGATTGATGATGATACAATAATTCTTTTCTTGCAAAGAATGTGAATACTAGTTATTGATCAATTTGTGTAACAGCTTACAAATATGGAATTTTGCCGAATTATTTCGTCCTCTTATCTGAAGGGAACGCGCATAACATTTGAAAGCATTTTCTATATTATTCTCTTCTTCCATACACTGGCCGAGAAGATTGAGTGCTGTGTCCCTATGTCCGAGATTTGGTTCAACATCCATGGTTCTGGCAATGTTATTGAGAGCCCTCTGTTTATCATCTTGTCTTCCTAGTCGGGAATATGTCTTGTACTGCAAGAAGTAGAGGTAAGGGAGAGAATCTACAACAGCCATGTTCATCCATTTATCATCTCTACTTCTGTAAGCATGGTCTTCCTGTGTTGATCTAAACATTTCATGTTGAAGTTCTAATGGACAACAGTTTCTTTCACATCGTATAAAATAGACACATGATGCTGTTATATGTTTAAACAGTCTGCATTCTTCGTTTGATTCATAACATAATCCTTTGAATTTGTCTCTTATTGAATAGTGTTTGAAACTGTAACACCAACATATCGGTTCAACAACACTTAAATCATAACACTCCTCAATATTTTTCAGGATAAGTTCAGTCCTCTCAATATCTCCGGTACAATAGAAAAAAGATGCTAGTTTCAGTTTACCAGATGCTACATCGGAGTCAAGTCCTAATGACAGGAATTCAAGAGCCTTTTTGTATGTTAAATGGTCTTGTTGGTTAATATTTGAAGATGATAGAATAGACCCACGTGAACTACATAAATATCGTGTTATCAAACGGTAAGCTTTTCTATCTATGTTTGTGTAATTCTCAATATGGTGATATGACATAAATGTTAAAAGTTTTTGCATCGCAAGTCTTGGTGACAAATCGTTCATTTCACTTAACAGACATTTGAAGAATGAGCTTATATCACGGGTAATATATTTTAGTAATTGCCCGGCAATGAGAGTTGGTATAAAATGTGGATGAATTGGTTCAAAACCATTTAAACTGGACTGTAGATATTTATCAATGTTGTCGCATTTAATTTCAAGTAATGCCCTTCCATCACTTTCGATTACATATCGAAGATTTTCAAGTATTAACGGCTTTGTTTCCGGGAGAAAACGTCCACTCATCAAGTTGTTTTGTGTGATGAAGAAATGAGGACAGTATTCATTTTGAACACAGTTGTACAGTGTTGATAAACAAAATGATAGACAAATAAAGAGGGTAATTTCTTTCCATGCGTCAGATCTAGTATATGAAATACAATGTAACAAAACTGTTTTACACATGAAACTTGAAATGTTGTCGGGAAATCTTAGAGTTATAAATGTTTTCAAAATCATTTTCATCAAAACATAACATCTGATTTGTGTTATGTTAAGATTAAACATTAAATATCTCTCTGCAAATGATGTGGATATTCTCCATTCAAGTAGTTCATTTACACTTCCTGATTTTCCAACGCCAACAACAAAACATCGCGTGTTTCTACAGTACTGTACTATATCATTTGTTGGCCAATGCTCTTCTCTATGTTGATTTAGCCAATGCCCTGCTTGAACTGGTCTTTCGTGACAAGGAAAGGCAAGAACGTAATCATTATCTTCGACTCCAGGAACATCTCGAACAGATTGAGCAGGACCGTTTCTTACTGCATTTTCTAAAACATTAAACATTGTATTTTTTAACAATATTCTCCCCATTCTGTCCCTATATGAATTGTCATTAACTTCAACTACGAGTGGTAATGGAGCATCATCTCTTAACTCTTGTAACAAACAATACCCTGGTGAGACATACTCATCTTGTATCATCAACAAATTATGTTTACCATATTCCCATTCACTCCAGTCTTGTATCACATTATAATTGTTCATAGATATAAGGCAATCTAAGTCAGAATTTAATCCTATAGTTGTTGTACCTTCTATTTGACTACCGAAAAAGAACACATTCCTATCTTTACCGAGAAGCTGATGAGTTAACGTAAATAGTGATTCATTCAGTAGCATTAATCTTCTTCTTTTCATCATTATCTTTTCACTAACACCAATCCCATCCATCACTTGAGACATTCTAAGTGACAAATTGTGAGCGTAATCTGGTATTCTCGACATTCTATAATCAAACAGAAAATTATTTTAAAAAAAAGTTGTTAAGTTTTTAATACAATTCTTTAGAACATAAGTTTTTACGATAAATAAGAACAATTAATACTTTGAAATTAAGTCCTATCAAACACGGAAGTGACAAATTAAAACAATGTATTTATAAAGTGTAAATTTTATATATGATTTATCTATTTATAAAAGCTTAAAATGTCAAGAAAAAGGGAAAATAAAGTTATTTATCTTTACCTTAAATCGAAAGTTGTACAATACGAAATCGAAAGTTGGAATTTCCAATGGTACACACCTTAATTAGACAGGTTGAATGGTACTAAATAGTAAATCAATAAAGAACTAAATTTTAATCCTTCTTGTAGATTAATTAAAACTTGACTCTTACACAGACATTTTAAAAGTAATAATCGGTCTCTGGTGGCTATTTTCAGAGGATGAAATTATTGTTGGACGCTATCATATACATGTATAGAGACTTTGAAACTATCTCTATATTTCGAACTTGATTAAAGCAACCAGATTAGTAAATTTAGGAATGTTTCTAATCATTTTGACAAGAAAGTCAAATCTTTAATGCTTTTATTATAAATAACTTAACTACATGTACACTTTATTGGTAAAATATTTTTTTTTTCAATTAGGCAGTGATTATTCTTGGGTTACTCAGATAAGGATGATGTGAACAACGAAGATAGAAAAAATCAAATAAATCATTTCCGTGGTTCTACAAGTAAAATGTTATGAGATGCCTGGAAAATATGTAAAAATAAGATATAATGTCTATAAACAATGTATCCTTTATAATGATATGTTTTCTTTTATTTTACAAAATAACTAATTTCGCCTCTTATTTGTCAGGATGTTAAGCATTCACATCAGCATCATGCGATCTATTCCTTATTGTGTTATTGTTCCCGTACACTTTAGCTTTCTGTCAGCTGTTTGTTAATGAAGTAGCGTCCCGGAAACAATATCGCCGGACCGAATCAACAATATATCGGTCTTGTGCAAGAGTTGTACACCTAGACCGACAATCACTGTGTGTATCTGCTACATTTCATTCAATTTTGAAACAGTTCCATTTTATTCTGTGGGAAACATTCATGATTTCTGACAATCTGCCACTGAGGCATGCCTGTCTGCAACTATACCTCCTATTTAACTTTTCAGAGTTAAAATGCCTTCTATGATTTTGATTTATTAAATTAAATGCCTTTTCAAACGTTGAATTGCAAATTTAAACAAAATCACAGAAATTCATAGATAAACACATACTTTGTATGCATTCCGTCAAAATCTTGATCTTCGAGGTTCACGAAGACCTCGTTCTTAAATATGTCGAAATACATTTCCTTATAAAAAAAATTCGTTGCATGATTTTAACTTTATTTGTATGCACATACCCATGCTCATCTAAGTATAGGTTAAAGTTTATTACCTATTTACAAAATTAAATTGGTCAAGCGCGACTCAGCGGGGCGACCAATTTAATTTTGTAAATACGTACTAATCAATATAAAACACTAAGTGTTTGAAAATCATTTTTCCAATAGAAGTGTAGCATTTAAAATAACATTTACTTTGGTTTATCGGCTAAATTAAATCAATCATGTAAATCGACAGTTTTAAAAAATGTTATATCAAATACTTAACTGGTAAGTGTTGCGCTGCTCTTGACAAATTTAATTTCGTAAATGCTTACCAATATTCACATCAAAACGCTTTCATTTTTGGATCGATGTCACAATACAAAGGAATATTCTGGAAAACAGAGTGAGCGAATTATCTGAAATATTGCAATAAAGTGTTTTGCCAAAGCCTACAGACAAATTACAATATGTATATTCATTTTCATGGCAAAAACAACAGCGGAGTTCATTTAAGCTGTATGACCATGATAACCATGAATCGCTTACCTGAGCTGCACCACTAGAAAAAGCCACAATTTTAGTAATGTCTCATTGGGTCTGTCATCTTTTTCTAAAGTATCATAAATTTAAAAATTTTGTAGATGTTTGCCATTTCAAATGATTCATGACAAATATTTAATCTGTAGGCATTGAAAGTTTACAGAGTTAAACATAAATGTTCTGTCCTAAAATAGTTGCATGAGCTATGTCTTCGAGCTGTACTTTAAACGAAAAATTTGTTAATTCATTTTTGTTTTACCGAAGGAGTCTTGAATGTATTTTACTATACAAGTCTACATAAAATAAGTGACACCCGGGGCTGGTTCAATTTTGACAATAACTTTTGTAAAAAAACGCAATATGATGCTACATTCCAAATATCCGACCTTTAGACTGAGGAATCTTTAAGGTCATTTTTCTTATACAAGTCTTGTAGAAGTGACCCCGAAGGTAAGACCAATTTTAACTCAAGAGACATGATATATATTTTTTGTACAGATCTACTTTACAATGCAACATGCCAAATATCTAAGCTCTGGGCATTGCAGTCTGTAAGGTGTTATCCTTTATAATCCTATGTAGACTGAATTGACCCCTCAATGACCTCTAGTGTTGCCAAGCGACATGAATTATTTCATTCTATTAGAGAACCACACGGTGATGTTTCATGCCAAATATCTAAGCCCCGACCTGTGTAGTTTCTGAGGAGATTTTTATTTTAAGTTATTTTCATTTACCTGGGACCCACTTATGCATCAGACTGGAACCATTAAATATATAACATATGTAGAGGACCCAAGTATCACTCCCGTGAATTTGGTCAATATCAATCAAGTTGTTTAGGAGATTTTGTTTAGAGAAATTGTTGACGACGGACTACAAACGACGGAAAACTGCCATCACAAAAGCTCACATTTGAGCACAACGTGCTCAGGTTAACAAATGAAAACCAGGCACTGAAGTCATTACGATTAAAAAATACTGGCTAGTGCCGGAAGCCAAATATCTACAGTGTAAACTGGTAAATTTATTTTTTTATATTATTGTCCATATAGTTTACGCCAAACTGTATGCCCTTTTGGCCGTTTCAGTGGCCTTAAATTGACATCAGGCCGTTTTTGATACAACAGGTTTGGTTCAAATTAAGTAAAATCAGCTTTATGAATGCCTGAGAAAGTGCATTGGTTGCTATACCTTCATTGACCAAAATGTAGGGCATGATTAAAATAGCCAATTTAAAATGTACTTCTGATTGTAAGTTCTAAGCAGAATTGTTCAACTTGATTTTCAACTCAGGGTGCTATCACACGAACATCAAATTATAGACACACTACACATCACGAGGACACAAAAGCCTCTAATTGAAGACAAAAAAAGTTGAATGTTTATTTTCAAAACTTTATTTCTATAAAATAGTATAATGTATTATCCAGTATTGTTCTTTATCTCGGCTTTCTGTAACTTCTTGGGCGTGTATTTTCTCTTCGGTTTTTCATTCTGCAAATAAATATACATATATCTTATTTAACAAATTTCTTATAGTCAGTACTATGCCAATAAGTCAATTCTAAAATGGTCTTGCGAGATAAGTAATTTGAGCATGTTAGTGTATAAGGATTGGATACCAATTTAGCGGGTGCTAGTGAGCGTGAGAGATGTTGCATTTTTACATAACTTCTCATAAAGAGAACAATTAAACCGAGTCTGTATAATTATGTGGGTATAAGAGTCTGTAATTTGCATATGTGGGTTTAATGTCATTGTTACAGTTTTTCATGATCGTTTTCCGAGATCAAATAAAGAAATACAGTTGTTTACTGATACTGCAGGTGCAAAAGGCCTGGAATTTGGTATCTACTAGTATTTTGCCAAAAAATGAAGAAAAGTACCAATGCTTTTATGCACAAGCAGGCACCTCAGTAGATAAACAACCTTTCAGTTACTTACATTATCATGTATATCATTATTAATTATCATAAAAGATATAATAAACATAAATATATTCCTGTACATATAACTGTTTGTGCCTTTAACAACATTTATCTGATGTCTTAAAGATTAAAGTAATTAATCATAATTTTTTTACAACTGAAAATTGAATGTTTTTGTTTAGCCTATGCATCTATGCCACATTATTACTTTATTATTTGTAAACACCTTATAAATATTTAAATGCCCATTATGCCTCAGACATTCTTTTCTTTTTAGTATATCTTGTTGACTATAGTTACTTAATGACTTATGTTGCTCTGGCAATTAGTGCAGTTATAGTGATGTAGTATTTTTATTTTGTATTAAAGTTAAAACACTACTTCATTACATTTCAATGATTAAATAATTACACATTCAGTGCTTTCTTCAGGTCACGTGCATCTAACATGTTCTCAGACGTATTTAAATATGATATAAAAAAATATATTGGCACAAGAAGCTAAAACCTTTATAGTATCACTAAGCTGTTGTAATGTTTCTTCATATTTCGGTAGTAATGGTTATGAACACATCTGCGGATGATTCTTAATTCAAAATTTCACCATTTTCGTGTTAAATGTTGAATTCTGCTTAAGTCGGTGCTAGGGGACGTGGACGGTCACTTGCACTTTCCAGTACCGTTCATGAACAGGCTCAATCAAACCGAGCCTGCAACATTTTCAATTGTGTTGTGTTGGACCTTCTTTAGGGATTCTGTTTATCTCTTTTTTAACATCTTCTTTTGAAATTTTCAAATGTCGTAATGTACCTTTACCAGCTTCTCTTACCATCTTCTTGAAGTGGAAAAACTAAAAATCTAACAAAATGAAAGTCTTATCAAGTGTATTGCTTAGTCCTTTTTAGGGATTTGAACATTGCAGTTAAAGCATTTGTGAAATCTAATTATAAATGACTTTTAAAAACTAGAAGTTTACAACCATTTTATAGCAACAGATTATAACAGCATATTAAATTAGTGTAGTACTCAGCTAAAAACGACAACAACATTATCAGCCACAACAACAACAAACAAAATACTGTGTTCAGGCGCGGTGTCATAAATGATGCCTTAACACACTTCAAACTCATTTTCATCTGGTTACATGTACATTAATTATATTACCAAAAACAACTGTACGATTTTATACTAGTGTTATATGTTCTTGACGAGGGCCGAGGGAAGTGGAAATCTAGTAGATCTAAGTCTGTACGTGTTAGATGACAAAACTTTCAATACTTTCTGTGTACTTACTGGCCATTGATTCTTACCTTGAAAGTAAAGTGAACACCATGAAATTATGGAACCAGCCTATATTTTTTTTTACAGAACATTGCTGTTAAAATGTCGTTTTCGGAAGTTTTCATATGAACATATAGGCCAAATTAAAACTGTTTAATAGAACTTCTAAAAATATGATGAAAAAGATCAACAAGGAAATGCGGCATGTTGTTAGAATATGCCTTAAAATTTATCATGTTGTTAGAATATGATAATAGAAACATTTTAAGCGAAACAAAATAAGGGTCACCGTTCTCGTCATTGAGTTCACTGTATATTAATTCGAGTTTTTTTACTTCATTCAAGGACAGATAATTCACAATAAAGGTAAACAATACCTGAGTTTTTCTTATTTTCATGTTGTTCACTTCAGAGTAAATGTACGAAAAAAGAGCGGATTGGCTCCATTCTTCTCCAAACCTTTGGCCCTTTTCCCTTAAACATGACATATTCTTATGAGAATTCTGACATTCTGAATCCTGAGATCATGGGTTTGAGCCTAAATGGGGTCTCGCTTATATGTCGTCATATGACCCAGATAGAAAATAGTTCCAGGAATCGACTTGAGAGTGGTATAAATAAACTTCAAGTTGTTTGAATAAATATGTTTCAACTAAGTCAGCTTTCTTCATAAGAAAGCGATACATTTGTATATGTTTATTTCGGAGTAAACATTACACCAGTGTTAGAGAAGGTGGAGACACATTGTCGGTTACCTCAGATATTGTTGTAATTAATGGATGGGGAGCGTATAATATATTCGTTGTTGATTACCAAAAACGATTAAAACATTTTCAGAAAATTCAAAGACAGCACTGAGTATTGTATATTCAATTCAACAAAAAATTAAAGAGTATGCATTTGAAAACTTTGCGGATTATTTGAATAGGGAATACCATTGAACAAGATGACAGAAATAAAATCTGGCAGCTGTAAAATAAGGCCACATTCATCATTTCTATGTTGTTATATTTATTTGTTCCTCGAGTTCATTGATTCTAACAATGCACAAATTGATATGTTATTTAAGCCTTAACCTACTAAAGCCAAAAGTGATCCACCTTTTTCACCAGGATAGAGGCATGCCCACCTGTGGAAACCGAAAGTGATCAGCTTTTTCTAATAGTATTGAAACAAGTCATCCTGCTGAAATCAAGTGTTACCAGCCTTTGCCACCAGTATTGAGTCACGACAGCGTGCTGAAACCGCAATAGATTAGCCATTGCCATTTAGAAAGAGACAGACAAGCCTTCTGAAACAAAAAGTGATCACTTATTGCCACCAGTAAAGAGCCAGTCCAACCTTTAGTCAAAACCAAAAGTGATGAATTATTTACATTACGATAGAGCCAGGTTTGACTTTTCAAAAAAAAAAAGTGATCAGTTATTGCAAACAGTAAAGAGCCAGTCCAGCCTGCTGAAACCGATAGTGATCAGCCTTTACAACCAGTATATAAGGCAGTCTAGCCTCCTGAAAACGAATGTGATCAGCCTTTGCAACCAGTATAAAGGCAGTCTAGCCTCCTGAAACCGAAAGTGATCAGCCTTTACCACCAGTATATAAGGCAGGCTAGCCTCCTGAAAACGAATGTGATCAGCCTTTACCACCAGTATAAAGGCAGGCTAGCCTCCTGAAACAGAAAGTGATCAGTCTTTACCACCAGTATAAAGGCAGGCTAGCCTCCTGAAACAGAAAATGATCAGCCTTTGCAACCAGTATAAAGGCAGGCTAGCCTCCTGAAACCGAAAGTGATTAGCCTTTGCCACAAGTAAAGAGCCAGTCCAGCTTTCAGAAACCGAAAATGATCAGTACTTACCGCACATATAGAACCAGGCCAGCCCATCGGAACCGCAAGTTATCAGCCTTTGCCACAGGCATAGAACCAGGCATGCCTGTTGAAACCGAAAGTTGTCAGTCTTTGCCATTAGTATAGAGTTAGGCAAGTTTGCTGAAACCGAAAGTGATCAGCCTTTGCCATAAGTATAGAATCGGGCCAGGTTGCTGAAACTGAAAGTTGTCAGCCTTTGCCATAAGTATAGATTAAGACAAGTTTGCTGAAACCGATAGTTGTCAGCCTTTGCCATAAGTATAGGCAGGCCAGATTGCCTAAATCGAAAGTTGTCAGCCTCTGCCACCAGTATAGAGCCAGGCCAGCTTGCTGAAACCGAAAATTGTCAGCCTTTGAGCCAGGTCAGCTTGCTGAAACCGAAAGTGATTAGACTAAGCCATAAGCATAGAGTCAGACCGGCTTGCTGAAACCGAAAGTTGTCAGCCTTTGCCATAAGTATAGAGCCAGGCCAGCTTGCTGAAACCGAAAATTGTCAGCCTTTGAGCCAGACCAGTTTGCTGAAACCGAAAGTTGACAGCCTTTGTTATAATAATAGAGCCAGGCCAGCTTGCTGAAACCGAAAGTGATCAGCCATTGCCATAAATATAGAGTCAGACCGGCTTGCTGAAACCGAAAGTTGTCAGCCTTTGCCATAAGTATAGAGTCAGACCAGCTTGTTTAAACCGAAAGTTGTCAGCCTTTGCCATAAGTATGGAGCCAGGCCAGTTTTCTGAAACCGGAAGTGATCAGCCTTTGTCATAAGTACAGAGTCAGACCAGCTTGCCGAAACCGAAAGTTGTCAGCCTTTGCCATAAGTATAGAGTCAAGCCAGCTTGCTGAAACTGAAAGTTGTCAGCCTTTGCCACAAGTAAAGAACCAGGCCAGTTTGCTGAAACTGACAGTGACCAGCCTTTGCCATAAGTATAGAGTCAGGCCAGCTTGTTGAAACCGAAAGTTGTTAGCCTTTGCTATAGGTATAGAGCCAGGCCAGCTTGCAGAAACCGAAAGTTGCCAGCCTTTGCCATAAGTATAGAGCCAGACCAGTTTGCTGAAACTGACAGTGACCAGCCTTTGCCATAAGTATAAAGTCAGGCCAGCTTGTTGAAACCGAAAGTTGTTAGCCTTTGCTATAGGTATAGAGCCAGGCCAGCTTGCAGAAACCGAAAGTTGTCAGCCTTTGTCATAAGTATAAAGCCAGGCCAGTAACTTTCAGTTTTATGATGTATCTGAAATATCAAGACTTTTATCCTCAAGTAATGAAATAAATGAAATTTTTTTGAAAATCTAAAGCATTTTCGGACAAAATACTTAATCATAGAGCCACGCAGATACTTTTAAACATATAACTCTGGAGTACATGCATAAAGTATACAACAACTCTTAATTGTGGGTAACTGTTTTAATAGACTCACATAGAAATTCAGTAACAGATAAATCTGGAATACAGAATACAAGTTGTGCTCCTTACATTTAAAATACATGATATTTGAAGTGCTGATAAACTAACATCAAACATGAAATAAAATGAAAAAAAAAATGTACAATTATATTATAACAAAATGTTAAAATATTGTCAACAACCTGGCTTAACTGTCACTACTGAAAAAAATAGATTGAACTGTTCGTAAGACACAATATAAAAGTATATATATATATTAGCAATTTTATATGATTTCATACTCAACATCTGACACAAATACAAAGACTGACAATAATTGGTAAATAACATTCATTATTTGAATTTCACATGTTCCCAGTGCCTGACACTTCTTAAAGCTACTTATTACAAATTGGTTTGTCCTAAATCCTTCGTTGGTCAGAATATTAGTAATCATCTATTATGTGTTAAATATTGCTTTCTTCTTTGTAAGAAATCCGTTACAATGTCAGTGCGTTTTTTGATAAAGTGTATATCTTCATCTAATATTATTCAAAATGCAACAATGTAACGTTTTATTATTCATCTAAATGGACACGTATTATGTAAGATTATACTTTCACACACCGCCTCTGATATTACAACGATGACATACTTGAAATAACATTGTGTTTGAATTGACAGTGAATTGGCGAAATATCCCACCATTAATAAAGCACTCTGGAACTGCAATGATTAAACACTGATACCTTATTTCTATCTAAACTGATCATGTTCAAAACTATAGAATAAGTGACTCATATAAGATAGTTTCTGGGCAAACATTGTGACTTTATTACAATGACAATGCATAAAACACACTGTACATGAATGTTCAGTGCTTTTGTCAAATGTCCTCGGTATCTATTTAAAGGATTATTGTTTGTCTGTTTATTGTTATACTTCCTATTATCTTCCACGATATCTTGTTTTGCAGAAAATAAAATAAACTAATTCACAATGGCCATGTACATCCAATGGCTTCTTTCGTTCTGTACTTAAGATCTTTTTGTGTCAATCAAAGCATTTTTGCCTTGTTATGAAAAGTTTAACAAAACCATACCCACGCTGTTGTTATAAAGGATAGCTCTGTATGTCCATACTGGTTTATACACGTAACTAACAAATCTAATTATAAATAGACGCTAAAAGTCTAAATATATGAAACTTTGCAGCATTATGTCTACTTCGTATTTTTAACGACATCAGAAAGCATTTTAAAGCATCGTCTTTGCGGTATTCTTGTTCCATACACTGTCCTAGAAGATTCAGTGCTGTTTCCCTGTGTCCGAGATTTGGTTCAACATCTATGGTTCTGGCAATGTTAGAGAGAGCTCTTTGTTTATCATCTTGTCTTCCTAGCTGGGAATATGTCTTGTACTGCAAGAAATAGAGGTAAGGGAGAGAATCTACAACAGCCATGTCCATCCATTTATCATCTTCACTTCTGTAAGCAAGGTCTTCCTGTGTTGATCTAAACATTTCATGTTGAAGTTCTAATGGACAACAGTTTATTTCACATCGTATAAAACAGACACATGATGCTGTTATATGTTTAAGCAGTGTGCATTCTTCATTTGATTCATAACATAATCTGTTGAAACTATCTCTTAGTGGAAAATGTTTGAAACTGTAACACTCACACACTGGTTCAACAACATTTAGATCATAACACTCTTCGATTTTTTTCAGGATAAGTTTAGTCCTCTCAATGTCTCTGGTACAATAGAATATTGATGCTAGTTTCAGTTTACCAGATGCTATATCGGAGTCAAGTCCTAATGACATGAATGAAAGAGCATTTTTGTATGTTAAATGGTCTTGTTTGTAAATGTTTGAAGATGCTAGAATAGATCCAAGTGTACTACATATATGTCGTGTTAACAAACGGTAAGCTTTTCTATCTATAGTTGTGAAATTCTCATTATGGTGATTTGACATAAATGTTAAAAGTTTTTGAATTGTAAGTGTTGGTGATAAATCATACATTTTCAATTGGATCATTTGAAATTGTTCACTTATAATATGGCATATTTGTTTTAGTAAATGTCCAGCAATAAGAGTTGGAATCAAATGTGCATGTACCGGTTCAAAACTGTTTAACCTTGACTGAAGAAATAAACCAAGGCAGTCGCATTCAATTTCGAGTAATGCCCTCCCATTACTTTCGATTACATAGCGAAGAGTTTCAAGAATTAACGGCTTCGCTTCCGGAGAAAATCGTCCGCTCATCAAGTTATTTTGTGTGATGATGAAATGAGGACAGTATTCATTTTGAACACAGTTGTAAAGTGTCGATATACAAAATAATAGACAAGTAAACAGGGTACTTTCCTTCCATGCGTCAGATCTTGTATATGAAATACAATGTAACAAAACGGTTTTACACATGAAACTTGAAATGCTGTTGGGGAACATTTGAGTAATAAAAGTTTTCAGTATCATTTTCATCAAAACATAACATCTGATTTGTGTTATGTTAAGATTAAACATTACAAATCGCTCTGCAAATGATGTTGATATTCTCCATTCAAATATTTCATTTGCACTTCCTGTTTTTCCAACGCCTACAACAAAACATCGCGTGTTTCTACAGTACTGTATCATATCACTTGTAGGCCAATGCTCTTCTCTATGTTGATTTAGCCAATGCCCTGCTTGAATTGGTTTTAAATGACAGGGAAAGGCAAAAACATGATCATTATCACTGAACCCAGGAACATCTTGTTGTGAATGGGCTGGACCGTGTCTTATTAATTCATTACTTCCAAACTTATTTAAGAATGTATTTTTTAACAATATTCTCCCTTTTCTGTCTCTATATGAATGGTCATTAACTTCAACTACGAGCGGTAGTGGAGCATCATCTCTTAACTCTTGTAACAAACAGTACCCTGGTGAGACATAATCATCTTGTATCATCAAATAATTAATTTTACCGTATACCCATTCACTCCAGTCTTGTATCACATTATATGTGTTCAAAGATATAAGAAAATCTGCGTCAGATCGCAATCCTATAGTTGTTGTACCTTCTATTTGACTACCGAAGACGAACGCATTCACATCATTACCGAGTAGCTGATGAGGTAACGTAAATAGTGATTCATTCAGTAGCCATGACCTCCTTCTTTTCATCACAATCTTCTCGCTAACACCAATCCCATCCATCACTTGAGACATTTTAAGTGATAAATTGTGAGCGTAATCTGGTATTCTCGACATGCTAAAATAAAACAGAAATTCGTTTGTTATATAAAATTTTCTGTATTTCTTCAAACAATAGATTAGATTTCACGATAAATAAACAACAATTTATACTTTGAAATGAATCCTAGTAAAACACGGAAGTGACACATTAAAAACAATATATTTATAAAGTGTAAATTTTACAAATGATTTAACTATTTATAAAAACTTATCATTTCAAATAAAAAGGGAAATAAAGTTATATATTTACCTTAAAATGAAATAGTACAATACGAAAACGAAAGTTGGAATTTCCAATAAATAAGACAGGTTGAATAGTACTAAATAGTAAATCAACAAAGTACTAAATATAAATCCTCTTTATACACAGACAATGGAAAAGAAATAATCCTCTATGGTGGGTATTTTATAGCATGAAATTATAATTGTTTGACAGGCTTCAAAAATATTTCTTATACATAGACTGTAGACATGTAGACATTTTATTTCTTACTTATACATATATTTTATTTTGAACTTTTATCAGAGAAACCGGATTAAAAAGAGTGTTACTTATCATTTTGACAAGTCTTTAAAGCTTTTATTATAAATAACTTTACTAGATGTAAACTTAATTCGTTACGTAATATTATATTTTGTTCAATTTGGCAGTCATCATTTTTGTATCAAATTACTCAGATAAGTATGATGTGACCAACGAAACAAGAAAAAGTTTATATCATTCTGTGGTTGTACAAGCAAAATGTTATGAGATGCCTGGAAAATATGCAAAAATATAATATCACGTCCATGAAGAACATTTCATTTATGACAGTTTTTTTATGTTACAAAAAAAAAGAATTTTATTTTTGTGAGGACATGTAGCATTCACACCAGCATCATAATATTACTTATTGTATTATTGTTCTCGTAGTTGTATTGTTTTCTGCAAGCTATTTCGTAATGAAGTAAGTAGCTTCCCGGAAACAATATCACTGGACTGAATCGACAATATATCGGTATTATGCAAGAGTTGTACACCTAGAACGACATTTACTGAGTGTATCTGCTACAATTCTTTTAATTTTGAAACGGTTTCATTTTATTCCTATTGATTTAACAGAGGAAAACATTTAAGAGTGCAGACAACCTACCTCTCAGACATGCCTGTCTGAAATAAATTACCCCCTATTCATCTGGTCAGGCATAAGCCGCCTTCTATGATCTTGATTAATTATATTGAATGCCTATTCAAACGTTGAATTGCAAATTTAAACAAAAACATAACAATTATGACATGTACACGTAGTATGTATACGGCCAAAATCTTGATTTTGGAGGCTCACGAAGTCCTCAGGCTTAATTTGTCGCCATACGTGTTCAAATACCCCCTCCGTTATAGCCCTTGTCGCTTTGGTTCCCATATGGGCCCGTTCCAGTTTTTTGTAGTTTTTTTATAATAAGCTCACATAACTTGTCTATCTCCTCTCTTCGCCGCCCTTATGTCCACTTCCGGTTTTGTGCCTTCTGGGTGCCCTGCTGTGGTGGCTTGGGTGTGTCAGGAGCTGGTACTGTTATCGTTGCCTTTGCCTTGTTGATCTTTATTCTCGTCTTTTAACAAAAATCGCTTTAAACTTCATTTGCTCATCATAATGTTTGAGTCCAGTATAATTGCAGTATGTGGGTAAATTTGGTAAATTTAATTAATCTAGTAAATCGACAGTGTAAAAAAATAATGTAAAACACTTAAAATAATTGTAAAGTGTTGCGCCGGTCTTGACCAATTTAATTTTGTAAATGTTTACTTACTAAGCACATAACACTCACCTTTACTTAAAAACACACATTTTGGATGGTTTTTACAATACAAAGGAATATTCTGGAAAACAAAGGCAGTGAACTATCTGAAATTTTGGAATAAAGTGTTTTGCCAAAGCCTACACACAAATTACAATATTTTGATTCATTTTATGGCAAAAAAAACACAGCAGAGTTCATTTAAGCTGCTGTAATTCCGGATGATTCTATGTAACAACAAGAGGACCACGATGACCCCGTGGATCGCTTACCTGAGCTGCATCACTAGACAAAGCCACACTTTTAGTTATGTCATATTGGGGTTGTCATTTTTTACTAAAGCAATATAATTAAAAAAAATATGTACATATTTGCCACTACAAATGATTCCTCACAAATATCTAATCTAGGCATTGAAAACATAAATGTTCTGTCCTATAATAGTTACATGAGCTTTATCTCTTCGAGTTGTACTTTAAACGAAAAATTTGTTAATTCATTTTTGTTTTACCAAAGGAGTCTTGAATGTATTTTACTAAACAAGTCTATATAAAATAAGTGACCCCCGGGGCGGGGTCAATTTAGACAATAACTTTTGTAAAATACCACAATATGATGCAACATTCCAAATATCCGACCTTTAGACAATTCAGTTTCTGAGGAATCTTTAGGGTCATTTTTACTATACTAGTCTTGTATACTGTGTGACTCCGTAGATAAGATCAATTTTAACTCAAGGGGCATGATATAATTTCTTTTTATACAGATTTACTTTACAATGCAACATGCCAAGCATACACGCTCTAGGCATTGCAGTCTTTAACGTCTTATCCTTTATAATCCTATGGAGACTGAATGACCCCGAGTGTTGCCAAGTTAAATGATTTGGCAAAAATATAGAGCACGACTATAATAGTCAATTTTAAATGTACTTCTGACACATGTTCTAAGCAGTTTTTGTAGCTTAATGAGAACTAAGGCTGCTATAACACAAGCATTAAATTATAGGTAAAACTACACACTCCTCTAAATGAAGACACAAAAGTTGAGTGTTTATTTTCAAAAAAATATTTCTATAAAATAGTATGATACATTATCCAGTATTGTTCTTTATCTCGGCTTTCTGTAACTTCTTGGGCGTGTATTTTCTCTTCGGTTTTTCATTCTGCAAATAAACATTACAATTATATTTCATTTAACAAATCTCTTATAGTCAGTACTATGTCAATTAGTCAATTCTAAAATGGTCTTGCGAGATAAGTGATTTGAGCATGTTAGTGTTGGAAGATTGTGAGAGATGTTGCATTTTTAAATAATCTCTTATTAAACCTAGTCAGTAATTTACATATGTGGATATAAGAGTATGTAATTTGCATATGTGGGTATAATGTCGTTGTTAGAGTTTTTCATTATCAAGTAAAGAAAAACAGTTGTTTACTGATACTGCATGTGCAAAAGGCTTGGTATTTGGTATCTACTAGTATTTTATCGAAAATAAAGAATAGTGCCAATGCTTTTATGCACAAGCAGGCACCTCAGTAGATAAACAGTTACTTACATTATCATGTATATAGAGGATATTAAATGAGTGGAGTTTAATACTAAATTTATTGAACAAGTTGAATAAAATCATATTATGCGAGCATCTGGCGAGCATTACATTGTTTTATCAAACGAGTTCAATAAATTTAGTATTGAATCTACACAAATAAAATATTCTAATTATCACATATATGAAATAAGAACAGTGAACTGTTAAAATGAGCAATATTTCAATGACGCGCCTATAGTGTTACGCTAACATTAGCGCGCTTTAAAGCTATGTTTATATATAGCGCAAAATATGTCACGTCAAAGTGTTTTTACACTAGTGTGATATCTGCCAAGTAAAGAGCTTGGCTAGCCTGCTGAAACCGAAAGTGGTCTGCCTCTTCCACAAGTATAGAAGCAGGCTAGCCTGCTGAAACCGAAAGTAGTCAGCCTTTGCCACAAGTATAGAACCAGGCCAGCCTGCTGAAACGAAAGTGGTCAGCCGTTACCACAATTAAAGAGACTGACAAGCCTGCTGAAACCTAAAGTGGTCAGTCTCTGCCACAAGTATAGAGCCTGGCAGCCTGCTGACACCGAAAGTGATCAGCCTTTTCCACAATTAAAGAGCTGTTGAAACAGAATGTGGTCAGCCTTTTCCACAATTAAAGAGCCTGACCAGTCTGCTGAAACCGAAAGAGGTCAGCCTTCGCCACAAGTATACCGCCTGACCAGCCTGCTAAAACCGTATGAGGTCAGCCTCTGCCACAAGTATAGAGCCTGGCCAGCCTGTTGAAGCCGAAAATGATCAGCCTCTGCCACAAGTATAGAACCAGGTCAGCCAGCTGAAACCGAAAGTAGTCAGCCTGTACCACAAGTATAGAGGCTAGCCAGCCTGCTGAAATCGAAAGTGGTCCATCTCTGCCACAAGTATTGAGCTTGGCCGGCCTACTGAAACCGAAAGTTATCAGCCTCTGCCACAAGTATAGAACCAGGCAACCCAGCTGAAACCGAAAGTAGTCAGCGTCTGCTACAAGTATAGAGCCTGACCAGTCTGCTGAAATCGAAAGTGGTCAGCTTTTGCCATGAATGTAAAGCCAGGTCAGCTTGCACATCCCTGGTGTATGACCAACCTCTATTATGTTTGCATTTCATTTAGTTTCAAATGAATTGTTCAATATTTAAAGCAAGGTAAATCCATTAAACAAACACAAATTCAGTAGTTTAAGTGTTATATTTATTTGAGAACCAGAAAAATAAACATACATAATATTAAAATGAAAAAATGGGCCACTTTTGACCGGAGCAAAAGTAACCTTCAGTTTTATGATGTATCTGAAATATCAACACTGTTAAGTGTTCACTTTCACCTACACGTGAAGAAATTTATAATAAAATTATGAAGATCTAAAGCATATTCAGACAAAATATTTAATCATAACATTGAACAGATAACTCTGAAGTACGTGAATACATTATATAACAATACAAGTTGTGTTCCTTACATTTAAAATACATGATATTTTAATTGCTGACAAACTATCAAACAGAAAATAAGTTGAAAAAAGTATGTACCATTATATTGTTATAAAATGTTTAAGTACTGTCAAAATACTGATTTAACAATGTCACTACTGAAAAAATAGAACTGTTTGTAAAACACAGACACCATAAGAGTATATTAGCAATTTTATATGATTTATTACTCAACATCTGACACAAATACCAAGATTATACTTTCACTCGGATAAAAATGTTACCGTATCTGATATAACAACGATGACATACTTGAAATAACATTGTGTTTGAATTGACAGTTAATTGGCAAAACACCCCACCATTAATAAAGAACTCTGGTATAGCAATCATAAAACACTGATGGCCAATTTCTATATAAACTAATAACGTTCAAACTATAGAATAAGTGACTGATGTAAGATACTTTTGCAAACATTGTTACTTCATTACAATGACAATGTATAATATGCACTGTACACGAATGTTCAGTGTTTTTGTCATATGTCCTCGATATCTATTCAAGGGATTATTATTTCTCTGTTTATTGTTATATTTCCTATTATATCCCACGATATCTTGTTTTGCAGAAAATAAAATAAACTAATTCACAATGGCCATGTTCATCCAAAAGGCTTCTTCCCTTCTGTATGTAAAGACTTTTTGTGGCAATCAAAGCATTTTGCTTGGTTATGATACGTTTGTCGTAACCATACCTACGCTGTTGCAATGTAAGTAATCTGTGTATGCCCTTAAACATATAACTTATGATTGGATGCTAACAGTCTAAAGATATGAAACTTTGCTGAATTATATCTACTTCGTATGTTTAAGGACATCAGAAAGCATTTCGAAGAATCTTCCTTGCGGTATTCCTGTTCCAAAATAAGTTATAACTAGTTATTGATCAATTTGTTTAACAGCTTACAAATATGGATTTTTGCCCAATTATATCGTCCTCTAATCTGATGGGAACGCGCATAACATTTGAAAGCATTTTCTACATTATTCTCTTGTTCCATACACTGTCCTAGAAGATTAAGTGCTGTTTCCCTATGTCCGAGATTTGGTTCAACATCAATGGTTCTGGCAATGTTAGAGAGAGCCTTCTGTTTATCATCTTGTCTTCCTAGACGGGAATATGTCTTGTACTGCATGAAATAGAGGTAAGGGAGAGAATCTACAACGGCCATGTCCATCCAATACTCATATTCATTTCTGTAAGCAATGTTTTCCTGTTTTGATCTAAACATTTCATGTTGAAGTTCTAATGGACAACAGTTTCTTTCACATTTTATAAAACAGACACATGATGCTGTTATATCTTTAAGTAGTGCGCATTCTTTGATTGACTCGTAGCATAATCTGTAGAATTTTTCTCTTGGTTGGGCATACTTGAAAAAGTAACACCCACACATTGGTTCAACAGCACTTAGATCATAACACTCCTCGATATTTTTCAGGATAAGTTCAGTCCTCACATTATCTCCGGTACAATAGAACATTGATGCTAGTTTCAGTTTACCAGATGCTACATCGGTGTCAAGTCCTAATGACATGCATGAAAGCGCCTTCTTAAATGCTAAATTGTCTTGTTGGTTGATGTTTAAAGATGCTAGAATAGATCCAAGAGTACTAAATAAATATCTTGATAACAAACGGTAAGCTTTTCTATTTTCGAATATGAAATTCTGAAAATAGTGATTTGAAATAAATTTTAAAAGTTTTTGCATTGCAAGTCTTGGTGATAAATTATTCACGTCACGTAACAGAACTTTGACTTCTATGCTTATAGCAAGGGCTGAATTTTTTAGTATATCCCAAGCAATGAATGTTGGCATATAATGTGTTGGTATATAAATTTCAATACCGTTTAAACTTGACTGAAGAAATGAACCAAAGTAGTCGCATTCAATTCCGAGTAATGCCCTTCTATTATTTTCGATTACATATCGAAGATTTTTAAGTATTAACGGCTTTGTTTCTGGAGTAAATCGCCCGCTCATCAAGTTATTTTGTGTGATGAAGAAATGAGGACAGTATTCATTTTGAACACAGTCGTAAAGTCTTAATAAACAAAATGATAGACAAGTAAAGAGGGTATTTTCCTTCCATGCGTCAGATCTTGTATCTGAAATACAATGTAACAAAACGGTTTTACACATGAAACTTGAAATGCTGTTAGGAAATCTTTGTTTTATGAATGTTTTCAAAATCATTTTCATCAAAACATAACATCTAATTTGTGTTATGTTTAGAGTAAACATTAAAAATCTCTCTGCAAATGATGTTGATATTCTCCATTCAAACTTTTCATTTGCAATTCCTGTTTTTCCAACGCCTACAACAAAACATCGTGTGTTACTGCAGTACTGTATCATACCACTTGTAGGCCAATGCTCTTCTCCATGCTGATTAAACCAATGCTGTGCTTGAACTGGTCTTAAATCACAGGGCAAGGCAGCAACGAAATCACTATCTTCGAGTCCAGGAACACCTTGAAAAGAATGAGCAGGGCCGTTTCTTACTGCGTCATGTAAACCATCAAACATTGTATTTTTTAACAATAGTCTACCCATTCTGTCTCTATAGAAATTGTCATCAACTTCAACTTCTTGTGGTAGAGGCGCATCACCTCTTAACGCTTGTAACAAACAATATCCTGGTGAGACATTCTCATTTTGTATCATCAACAAATTAACTTTACCATTTTGCCATGCACTCAAGTCCTGTATCACATTATAATTCTTTATAGATATAATACAATCTACGTCCGGCTGTAATCCTGGAGTTGTTGTTCCTTCTATTTGACTACCGAACAAGAATACATTCAAATCTTTATCGCGTAGCTTATGATTAAACGCAAATAGTGATTCACGCAGTAGCCCTGATATTCTTCTTTTCATCACTATCTTCTCGCTAACACAAATCCTATCCATCACTTGAGACATTTTAAGTGATAAATTGTGAGCGTAATCTGGTACCCTCGACATTCTATAATCCAACAGAAAATTATTAAGTTCATAACAAGTTTTTTTTTATTTTTTAATACAATACTTTAGAACATAAGTTTTTTACGATAAATAACGACACTGATTTTTTTTAAATAAAGCCCTGTCAAACACGGAAGTGACACATTTAAACAATATATTAATAAAGTGTAAACTTTATAAATGATTTAACTATTTATAAAAGCTTATAATTTCAAAAAAAAGGGAAATAAAGTTATATATACATATTTACCTTACATTGAAATTGTACAATACGAAAACGAAAGTTGGAATTTCAAATGTTTCACACCTTAATTGGACAGTTTGACTGGTACTAAATAGTAAATCATCAAAGAACTAATTTTTGGTGAAATTAAACCTTACTTGTAAATTGAATCTTACACAGACACTTTAAAACTAATAATTAATTAATAATTGCTCTATGGTGACTATTTTTAGAGGATGGAATTTAAATTAATGGACGCTTACATATATAGAGATTTCAAAACGATTTCTTAAACATATAGACATGTATTTTATTTCTTATTTATGTATTTTCTTTCGAACTTTGATTAAAGAAACCGGATTATTTCACTTAAGAATGATTCTTATCAATTTGAAAAGGAAGTCAACTCTTTAAGGCTTTTATTATAAACAACTTAACTGCATATACACTTTATTGGTAATATAATATTTAAATTATTCTATAACAAAATAGTCAAATTCATTATATAAACTAAATCACTGAGAACTATATCATCACTTTTAAACAAATATTTATAATAATATCCAATGATAATTTTTGTTGTTTTGATCAATATTTGAAATACCTGAAGACCAATCCATTTTAAACCTACATTTGTTATTTCGAGAAAGTATAATGCTTCATGAACACCTGAAAACTGCAAAATTTAGTTTTCAAAGATGCTAAGGAACTAAACATATCAATTTACACCTGAAATAATTTTTTTTATTTTATTTTGAATTTCGTTGCTTGAAAATTTAAAATGACTTACATAGCATTAAATAACTACCTTGCTTTTGTTTATCTTCACAAAATATTCACCGCTGATATCACATATTACATCTAATATTTAAAAGACATAACTTTATTCCTGCAAAATTCCGTTACTTTCAGTGTGATATATTTTTACAATTGAATTATTGTTTTTTGTATTCGCCAACTTTTCAATACCCCGACACCACCAGATTAAAACCTATCAAACCTGTATTCTTCAGTGTCTGATATTTTGGCATCGACGTTTTGTATAATGATTTGAGTCTGTCAAATAAATGAATTTAAAATGAAGAAAGACCTGAAGTATTTACTTAAACCGTTGTTGACAACATATTTGTTTGTAATTCACCAAAGAGACCTTAGAGACCAAAGAACTATGTTATTGATAATAACTACATACAAAAATCTTAATAAAAGAAAAGCGGATCTTAAGTCTACTTTATAGTTGCGTGCAAACATTATAAAAGAAATATCATTACATCGGACTAGCTATTATATTACTTGCACTTAAAGGCCTTAAAACTTGAATTATAGAATGATTGAATCGTTTCTTTCAAATATCTAATTGAACTACATAGTTCACCTCTTGATTAAATAACAAAAATAGATTTTTATTGAACACAGTTTTGTGCGTGAAGATTAATATACTTTTAATTTATAGCATTTCATCTCCAAAAAAGAAGAAAGTTTGTTGCTGTTGACTATTTAATGAATTTAAGAGAGACAGCTTTATAAATTATTCCTTAATACTAAAATACAACTTATTTTGTCCCTTTACACTACAGTTTAACTTCGGTGGCTCTAACTCGGATCGCTCGAATACCTCTCTTCGCTCGAACTCATCGCCCAGTCTACCTCGGATCGCTTGAACACCAATCCATCTAACTCTCGAACCTGGTGTCTGGTCCCTTCGGTAGAAATATAATGAACATCACACCTTTTCGGTCGAACAAAAAAGACAACAAAAGTTGCGGGTCAACATGTTCCCGGCGAGACATGTTTTAGCACCTTGTGATCGTGATAAAGACAGTTAAATTGATATAAAATTAAAGGTAGTGTAACCGATTTGTTTGTTATGATAATATTGTTTATTTCCAATCTTTAGTAACGATTAAAGAAAATAACCCGTAAAATCAGAAAAATATGCAAAAGTCAAAAAATAATTGACGTTTAATCGGACAAATTACAGGTCCTCCGAATTCGAGCTAACAAAGTTCGACTGTACAACAAAATTTTTTGCTCAGACGATAACTAGAGGATATTGATTTAGTGTAATTTCAATATATAATTTATTGAACGAATTGAATGAAATTATATATTGCGAGCCTCTAGCGAAGAATTTTCTTTAATACACTCTTTGAGAATGTAAATAGATTCATTTCTTTATTCAAAATTGGGTTTAAATAATGGTTCTGGCCATTGATCAGATCAAAAATGATAAACGAATATCTTTAGAACGTCTTTCATTTAAGATGATACAAAGATATTTCTCTTGCAAAATTATTGAATACTAATGATTGATCAATTTGTTTTGCCGAATTATTTCGTTTTCTTATCTGACGCGAAAGCGCATAATACTTGAAAGCATTTTGTTTTTATTTTTTTCTTCCATGAACTGTCTTTAATGGTTGAATGCTGTTTCCAGATGTCCAAGATTTGGCTCAACATCAATGTCATTTTTCATAGTTTCATAGCAGTTTAAACTTGTAACAGGAGGTTTTTCAATGAAAACAGCCATTTGTTTCACAAAATGCTCATGAAGTAAAAGGTCAAAGGTTGAAAGACTATATTCAATGCACATTTAAACAAAATTTATAGACGAAACAAATATGATGATATGTTGTTTACATACTGTAATGGTGGTTTCTAGGAAGAGTTTAAATATAACATTTCTCTGTTATTAAACATATTTTTGCAGAGGGCCTGGGAAAGTGGACGTCTAGTAAGTTTGTACATATAGGATGACAAACCTTTCAATACCTTTCCCAACCATTGCTTTGTATGTAAGAAGAAAAGAGAACATCATGAAATTAACACACCCGATCATTATCCTTTTATAAATATATAAACTACTTAGTTTTAATATAATGACATACCGGTCAAAGTATTATGACATCCCCAACCTAGAGATCATGAGTTCGAGCCTAAAGTCTTGTTTATTTGTCATATGCATACATAAAATGCATACAGAACACAACACTTATGTTATGACAACAGCAGCAGCTTTCTCTGTTAAAAGTCAGTTCGAGATTGACTGGGTGAATACTCAACAGCTTTCTCAGGGAAAGGATTTTTCTTCGAAGGTAGTCTAGTCGAGTTAGTACCTGTGTATTTTATGAAATAAGGTAACCTTTATTTAACACGGGTCATATTTCTTCGTTACAACGGCTTTTACACTGTTTAAGTTCAAATGCTATCTAACCCTTACCGTCGAAGTGATCAACCTTTGTCATCAGTATATAACCAGGCCAGCTCGCTGTTATCGGATGTGATTAGCCTGTTTCACCAGAACAGAGCCACGCAGCCTGCTGAAAACTCTAATGTGACAGCCCTTCGCCCCCGTTGGAGCCCGGTGCCCGCTGAAACCCAAAAATTTTAAACAGCCTTTGACCCGTAAGGCCAGGCCCAAACCCTTTTTTATGAGTGTGATCATTTTTTCCAACAGATAGAACAAAGGGAAGCCAGCTGAAATTGAAAGAGGTCAGCTCCGCTACAAGTATAGAGTTAGGCTACCCTGCACATCCGTGGTGTATTGCCAACCTCTAGTCTGTTGATATTTCATTAAGTTTCAAATAAACTGTTCAATATTTAAAGCAAGGCAAAACCATTAAACAAACACAAATTAGGCAGTTTAAGTGTTATATTTATTGGAGAACCAGAAAATATGCATAACACAATATTAAAACGAAAAAACGGGCCACATTTGACTGGAGCAAAAGTAACTGTCAGTTTTATGATGTATCTGAAATATCAACACTGTTAAGTGTTTACTTACACCGACACGTAAAGAAATATATGATGAAATTATGAAAATCTAAAGCATATTCGGACAAATTACTTAACTATAGAGTCGCACAGATAATCTTAAACAGATAACTCTTGAGTACATGAAAACATTATACAACAGTACAAGTTGTGTTCCTTACATTTAAAATACATGATAATTTAAGTGCTAATATTGTACTATCAAACATAAAATAAATTTAAAAAAGCATGTACAATTATATTATAACAAAAAGTAAAAATACTGTCAACATACAGGCTGAATAATGTCACTACTGAAAAAATTAGATTGAACTGTTCGTAAAACACAGACAATATAAAAGTATATTAGCAATTTTATATGATTCCATAGTCAACATCTGAAACAAATACAAATACTGACAATAAATTGGTTACTAACATTCATTATTTGAATTTCATGTTTCCCTGGGCCTGGCACTTCTTATAGCAAATTATTTCATTTTTTTGTCCTAAATCTTCCGTTGCTTAGAATATTAGTTATCATCTATTATATGTAAAATTTTGCTTTCTTCTTTGTAAGAAATCCGTTACCATGCCAGTGCGATTCTTAATAAAGTGAACATCTTCATCTAATATTATTTATTTACACATAGTAATTTAAAAGGAAACAATATAACTTTTTGTTATTCATCTAGATGGATACGTATTTTGTAAGACAGATAAAAATGTTACCGTATCTGAAATGACACCGATGACACTTAAAATTACATTTTGGGACCTTTGAATTGACAGTTCATTGGAAAAATACCCCACTACTAATAAGGCATTCTGGGTTTGCAATGATTAAACACTGATAGCTAGTTATTATTTAAACTAATATGGTTTAAAACTATAGAATAAGTGACTCTTACCAGAAACTAATTTGGCAAACATTGTGACTATTAAAATGACAATGCATAATATACATTGTACACAAATGTTCAGTGCTTTTGTCATCTGTCCTCCATATCTATTTAAAGGCTAATGTTTTCTCTGTTTATTGTTATACCGGTATATTCGTAGTATCTTCAAAGACAACTTGTTTTGCAGAAAATAAAATAAAAGAACTAATTCACAGTGTCCATGCACATCCAAAAGGCTCAATCGTTCTGTACTGAAGATCTTTTTGTGTCAATCTGATCATTTTTACTGGTCACAACCATTCCCACGCTGCTGTTATCTGGGGTATACATATAACCTACAATTCTAATTATTAAATGACGCTAACAATCTAAATATATGAAACTTTGCAGCATTATGCCTACTTCGTATCTTTAAGGACATCAGAA